TGGCAGTGGTGGGAGGAGCAGTGTCTCGCGCCTCCATGATGGGTGCTGGTGTTTCTTTGGGTACTTGAACTCCGGGAGTATTGGTGGGCGTTGCCGTGACGGGTGGTGCCGTGGGGGTGGGTTGAGTCGTTTGTGGTGGCAATGTGGGTATTCTACTGCTACTACTACTAGAGTTGTTGTTGTTGGTCGCCATGGCAGGTGGTAACGTTGGAAAAGTAGGTTGTGGTTGTACCGGTAGCATTGTGGGGGGAACCGTAGCTTCTCCAAAAGGGACAGTGGGCACTGGCGTGGTGGGAATAGGTGTTGTTGTTGTTGTCGCATTTGGAGTGTTGGTTTGAGTGACTCTTGTGCCTCCAGTGTCGGGCGGTTCCTGATGGAAAATGTTCTCGTCTGCGGGAGTGTCTTCTTGAGTACTAGTAGTGGGACCTGCTGATACAGTTGTGGATGATGTACTACTACCTGTAGTACCGTTGCTATTGTTGTTGTTGTTCCCCTTTTGCACCACACCCAGCACCACTAATAAGATGATGGTAGCCACCAAGAGTACCAAGGCAATCGCGACTGGCCGTTTGTTGCGCCTCAGGCCTGCCTTGACAGCACCGTTACCATTACTAGCAGCAGGCAAAGGATTCTCCCCACTGTCGACAGCCGTATTGTCATTGACGACGACGGCCACTTCCACCTCTTCTCCATCCGATGCATACGGCACTTGAAGGGGAGCCTTGGGAGGTTGTTGTTGGGCCGCCATGTAAAACTTTTTGCGAGAGGGCATTCAAACCAATAATACCGAAAACACAAGACACCAAGTCGTCGGAGGTCAGAGGTGATCGAAGAAATCACGGCCAATCCCACCAGATCTCGACCTGCTCCCTTGCTTGGCTTGCTGCTAGCTGGGGCTGTGGCTTGTTTTAGAGAGACAGGAGCTCTATCTTGGAGGCAGCAAACACGTCCAACGCTATGGTACTTAGACCTTTCTCATCTTCGCCCAGCGAATGCCATCGCCAATTGACATTTCTTGGGCTTCTTTCGCAAAAATTGACTTTCTCCGCCGTTTTTGCAAGAAGTGCCTCGAATCGAGTTGAATCGAATTGAGTCGGAATCTTCAATCGAATCGAAATCCAATTCGATTGAAATTCTACCGGATCGTACCAGGCAGCGTGGAGCGTGGAGAGATTGGCGTTTGATGATGCATTGGAGAGAGAGTTCGAGAGAGCTGAGAGAGAGCGTTGCCGATCGCCTCTCATCATGGGACGAAGAAGAAAGAGAACTTGCCAACATCACTTTTGCAGTTGGTGCTCGTGTGCATGCTTAGAATGCCAGCGGAAATAGCATGGAACTCAAACGTAGTTTTAAAAAGCAAAGATATGGCTGAGCACAAGCAAGATAGAGCGAGCACAAGCAAGATATAGCGTCTAAGATAGAATGAAATCATTGAATCATTTAGGTGGCTATAGATAGATTACTTGGAATAGATAGTTTTGATGGGTATCAGCCTTTTGTGAAAGTACTACTGGCAGTAGCTGCCTGCCTGTGGAGCTCTGCAGAGGTTATTGTAAATTGATCTCGATCTGGGGTCAAATCATGATGGAGCCAATAGAAAACAATAAAGGAACTAGCCTTTGAAAGAACTTCGGTCAAGAGAACTTGAGGCTTTGCGTTTGAGACTCAATTTCTTCTCCTTGGCAGCATTGTTGCTTTTTCCTGTTCGAGGGGAACTCCATTTGTCAGGCGCTTCCCGCAAGAGCCCATAGAGCACTGGCACTTGTTGTGTCCAATGGACTCCTTGAGGAGTAAATACTCCTGCAATCACCGATGTCAATAGTTGGGCCGTGTCCAGCGACTTCTCTGTATCTCGCAACAAATGCCTACCATAGCGGTTGAGTGTTGTGTGGTAGCCAATGATGTCATGGTACCTCACCATGTTGACATTTGTTAGAGTCGTATTCCACTGCAAAATATCAATCATGCGGTCTTGGTATGTTTTTGCATAGTCCCTACCAGTATCGGTACTGGAAGTTATGTGGAGCTTGAACTCTTTCAGCTTGGAGGCATCGCCAGCTCCAGCTAAAGCATCCAAAAGTGGCAGAAAGAGCCCGTTTTCTGCACATGTCTCAGAATCCCAGGAGTCGATTTCGAGCGACTGCAACGGACCAGATGCAATTTGGTAGGAGATTGCTTTGACCATGTTACAATCGATATCGTCTCCCACGTTGATTGCCAATGTCAAAAAGTTCAGGTTTGTCATGTCCCGCACCTTTGATGCCAATGCAGACCTGGCTTCTTCGGTCTCTGAATAATTAGTGTCCCATTCGAGAGAGACATGAATTCGTTTGGAAGAAAGTGGGAGATATTGTATCATTTTGCTTAGAAAAACATAGCCGATATCACCTGTACGGGCTTGAACTGTAAATGCCTCTGTAAAGGAGCTGCTGATCTTTTCAGGATTCTCGGAATACATTAGGGCTTCTGGAAACAAGACAAAGAGAGTCTCAAACTGTGTTAATTGTCGTTCTTCAAGTGTGTCCCTCATGATCTCAGCAATCGATTTAGGTTCAAGTACGCTGGGATCCACTACATGGCCCTTGAGAAACTCAACGACATCCTTGCTCGGACTCTGATAGCATGCATCCAGGAAGATATCATCTGTCATGGCTGCTGGATCTGCTTGGTAGACTAGGCGAACCATCGCCAAAGGTGCTCCTGTGACCACCAAGCTGTGAAGTGGCGAAAGGCCCTGGAGGTCATCCAAGTACACAAACTCCCTTTCGTATCCCACATCGTGTTCGTATTGAATGTCCAAACGCGGCATGGCTCTTCAAAATGATCAAGGAATACCAGGTATCAAAGCGAGTCGAGTCGATTCAATCGCTGTGTATGTTGTGATTTCGCCGTTGTGCTCTTCTTGTTTGAGAGGACCGAGGACGTAAGAAAGCAACTTTGAACGTGGAACGTGATCCAAAGTACAGCGCGGAGACCTTTGCCGTGTACATGTCATCTTGCCGAGCGTGGTCAAACCACGATGCATTTTCTCTTTTCCACGCTGCCAGCCCATAGCTATTATGACGAGCGCATGGATTGCCTCCAGGACACGCTGCTATAGCTGCCCTGCACGTGGATCGTGAATGTCATGACGAAGCAATCGTCTTTGAATTGATGATGATGATGATGCGGATATCGTGGAAGCATTGCATGCGCTAGCCAATAGAAGAAGAAGGAGCTGCGCTTTGGCATTGGTAGGGACGACGAAAGAGTTCACAACAAAGGTTAAAGCTAACGTTTTATTTGATTCTATAACATGCATTTACGGTTCTACCGTAGACGATGGACAGTGTTTACTCTATATCCAATCACCAAAGAGTCCCTTTGTATATTCTCAAATTAGTCCGCCTTGGCACGAGTAGTTGTAGTATTTGTTGTTGATTCATCATTTATCATTCTATAACATGCATTTACGGTTCTACCGGTAGACGATGGACGGTGCTCAAATTAGTCCTCCTTGGCACGAGTAGTTGTAGTATTTGCTGGTGTAGTTGTCGTTTTGACAATGAGTTCTTGTACGGCTTGTTCAATCAATCGTTGTTGAAAGTATGGTCGTGTAATACCGGCCGTAATGTGTCCCCCGGGCAACCACTGTACCGGAACATGCCCATCGGCAGCCACATGGGCCAATTGTCGTTGCATCTCGTGCGTGTACTTGGCTTGGATGACACCATCGCGTTCAAAGGACATGCCTCGAATGACGGCAACTTTGTTATTTTGAGTAGTGTGACATGTCAATAGCGAGATTTGGGATTGGTCCAACAAGTCGAACAAGTGTTGTTTACTACTAGGCGCCAGTGCCCGCCATTGGAGGACACTTTGCAGAATCCCATCGGCCAGCACCCCGGGGGATGCAAATCCCGTGTACGGAGCACACGCCATCCGACTCCCATCCAACCCCACCAAGAGCGATCCGACCGATGTATACGCGCATGTACAGGCTCCATGAGAAAATCCCGAATGACAGACAAGTGCGTGGGGAGATCGTTCCGACATAATCCAATTGGTGAGTAGCATGCCTTCTTCAATGACACCTTCGCTGTGCAAGAGAATATTGGTGACGGAATTGAAGAAAAATAAGAGTTGATCGCGGGGTTTGCGACTGCCGTAAAATGCCGCCGTGGGAATGACGGACGCCCACCCGTATTTGTGGGCCAATCGTTCGGCCATGGCGAGACGCATGCCATTGCCCATTTCTCCCGTCGATGGAAACAAGAAAATGTAGACTGGTGGATCATTAGTAGTACTGTTGTTGTTGTCGTTGTTGGCAGAGTGCAGTTGTTGAGGTTCCACCATGACGAATTGACAATAACGGGATTCTTGTGGAAACAATGCGGCCATGGGACTCTGGAAAGTGCCTTGGGAGTAGACGAGTCCGTTCTTGCGACGGGTTTCCTTGACATGAAGATTTTTGCCTTCTTTTAGTGCGTGTTGTGTCATGTACGGTCCGTTGGCTCCACCGGCCGCCGCGGCAATCGTCTGATGAAGTCGTTTGAAGTAAATGTCGGGATCGCCGTAGCCTTGCGAGAAAAACTTGGGGCCCCATGGGAGGAGACTGTTCACAATGGGAAACACCAAATCCGGAATGCTCAGTAGCCAACTCCAAAATTCCCACAACACGGACAGCAGTGATCTCCACAGAGACTTGCTTCTTGTTTCTTCTTCTTGTTGCTGTTGGCGCTGATGTTGCTGAGTTTGGATAGACATCGTGTTGTTGCTTTCTTCTTGATTGTCGATTTGTCAAGTTGTGAAATTATGAACCAGAAAGAAGGATCGGGTGACCGGAACGGGTAAGGAAGGACTAAACCCGGTGAAGGAGTTGTGAAAGTGTGTGGGGCCTTATGGAGATCAACAATCAATCATTCATTCATGTGGACCGAATGAGGATACGGTACCTGGTACACGTCTATGCAAGAATACTACTACTAGCTAGCCAGGCCACCATGAAGTCTTTCGTCTCACTTGATCTTAAGTTGTTGTCGGTGTGTGTCTCGATGTCGGATCTGTTCAATATTTGGAGCTTTTCTCGTAATTTTACATCATGATTGTAATCGGTCCCTGTGCAGTTTCCGACGATGATGCGCTGCTTTTTATCCCTGCTTTCAAACATACCAGTACCGATACGTCCAAAGAACTTACGTGTACACGTCTCCTTCATAAGATATGAGCCAGCATAGCTGTCAGAATAGCGGTTCACTTGCCTTTGAGTCGTCGAGAAAGTGTGCGATCTGGAAATCTTCTTCTGTTTTCCTCTTTCTCTTTACAGTCGTAGAAGTCTTACTTGCCATAGCTCGATCTTGCCATCATACATGTAGCTTCCTTTGCTGTCAATCATTCCTCATGGTCATGAAGTTATCATAGTTGTTGGATTTCATTTATGCATCTCCATGGCCAAGAGTGGACGCTCTCTCTTCCTTGTATCTGAATAGTGCCGGTAGACTAGCTAGCTAGACCATCTGTGACGTTGGCTACACCCTACTAGCTAGGCTAGGCTAGTGCTTTTCCGCAGTGTGGTAGCGGAAAGTTCCGGTGATACATAGCAGTTGAATTCCTTTTTTGTAGATGAACCATGGAGACTTCTTCTACACCTGGCACCATCTATGGACCTCATTTATTGATTGGTGTTGACAATGAATTCCTTCGACCAATCCTGGGGAGTCTAGCTGAAACCGCTGCGAATGGCCATGTCAATGTTGACAAAGTGTCTGGATGCTGACCTATAGGTGTGTGACAAAGCTGCCATCCATGGAGCAGCACAGAGCGAGGTGTGTCAATTAAAAAATGAGGTTGCGTCCTCAAAGTTTGGGAAGGTGCTGTAGCCTGGCCCTCGCTGGCTTCCGGATGGCTGCCATAGATAATCCCTAACTCAACGACCATGGGTGTGGATTGATTGCTATGACAACCATGGTATCAGGCACACTGCATGCTACCAGCGGCGAAACCGGTAAAGTACTGTACAATTTGCCTGCAGCGCAGACGAAACCTTGGACCACAGAACACCACGGAAGGACGGAAGGTTCCCGAAACCATCACAGGCTGGTCCAGGTCGCATCCACACAACAAGTTGCTACGTTGGCGATCTGTCGTCTTCCATTGGTGCATCTCCAAGTGGACACTCTTCATTGTATATGAATAGTACCGGAGCTAGCTAGACCATTGCTATCATTTCTTGCTTTCCAGCACTTGTACCAGAGTACCGGTACCCCAATTACTTACACCCCGACTGAAATGCGCCAGCATAGCTGTCAATCAAATGTGAAGGAGAAAGTGTGCGATCTGGCAATCTTGTTCTGTTCACTTCAAAACTTGCTCCGCTGCGGTGCTGCGGTCCAGTTTGTTATATTGGTTGTCATGTCACAATCAATCAATCCTCATAATCATCGTCGTGGAGTTGGCGATTTGGTCGTCTTCTTTCTTCATTCATCTCCACGGCCAAAGAGTTCATTGTTATAGAATAGTACCGTATAGCTAGCCATTCCATCACTGGTGGTTGGCTACGCCCTACCAGTGTTTTCTGGAGCGCTAGCTAGCGGAAAGCTCTGGTGAATAGCATAAAGAATTCTTCTGTCTCGTATTCTTCTTCTGTACATAGAACGATGGAGACTTCCTCTTCTACGGCTACTACTAATGGCACCGCCCATCGACCTCATTTCTCGATTGGCGTGGATGATGTATACGTTCGACCCATCCCGGGGAGTCTCGTCTCGTACATGTGGCATGCGGAACCAAATTTGCTCTATCGGACAGGTGTCATGTGTTCCAACGATGGACTCTTGAGGTTCTTGCAATGTGGGACATCATCAGCACCACAAGATGTGTTTGAAGGAAAGTTTCACATCAACAAGACACTCTTTCAAAAGGCCATGTTCCGACCAAGGAACGATCTACAAGTTGGAAGGTAAGAATAAGATGGACAAAAGAATGGAATGTCCTGAAATGTGTGTCTATTCTCTGCTAAACAAACATCTGTCTTGGTGTTGTTTTGCTTGGCTGGTTGTTTGATGACTCGATTTATTCTATTCTATTCCAGTACATGCTACGATGAAGAAAAGGATCGATGGTGCATTCTGAAGCGCATTGACATGGAAATGGGAGGTGTGCATGTCGTCTACAAAGGTCAAACCAACCAAGAACTCGTTTCGGCAGACTTTTTGCATGGACTTGTTGTTGTTGTTTCACAGCCACCCACGGCACCACAGCCATCGGCAAAGGCACTGGCCGTATTGCAGCCACGACGACGACAACAACCAGCAGAACGACTCTCAGGGAGGAAGAGACCCAGTTTGAGACAATTGCCATGGGCTAGCAGTGTGGTTGCCAACACACAAAAGAGTGACAACCAACCGGACCAGCAGGAACTCCAGCAGAATCATGCCCTTCCTTCGGAACACAACGATGCCCCGACACATCAGCAGGGTGACAACCAAACAAATCAATCCAGCCGAGAACGAGACGCCGCCAATACAGAAACTCTTGCCCCACAACAAATGGCCACTGTGGCGGCGGCTCCTCCAACGCCACCACCACCAGTGGATCGGCAGCAGATACGGAGAGTTTCCTGGGGTGAACTGCTGAGGATTGATTTTGATGATGACGAGGATGGGTTCTCTTCCGACAGTGATTCTTCGTCTGGTAGCGCTGGGAGCTGCAGCAGTCAAGACTCTTATTTCCGGACTCCTGTCCGGTCTCCTGATTCCTCATCAGACGAGGACGAGGACGCCAGCACAGATCAAAGCCATCGCTACCGACTGTCGGTTGGTCCTATTACCGCCAGGAAGACGGCATCGGCCGCAATCAGAGCGACTGTAACGGGCCGGAATCTGGATGACGCGTTCCAAGAAGAACATTTGGGACGCACGAGCGATGATCATCGTGCCGAGGCAGAGAACCCACCACCACCCCAAGAACAACAACAGCAACCAGTACAAGCCACGAGGGAATCGTCTTTGTCTGTCAGAAGCAATGCTGGGGCCAATACCGAATTCCCAACACAACAGCAAGAAGCAGCAGCCAGAAGGGAGTCATCTTCATCCCAAAATGACAGCAGCGATGATTCCGAGGCCGAGATCCTCACACAACCACAGCAGCAAAATGTCACCAGGAGGGAATCCTCTTCATTCGACGATGGCAGGAGTATCGTTGAGGCTGAGGCCAAGATCCCACCACAACGAAATCAACAAGATGACAGGAGCAATGAACCATCTTCGTCTAACCATGACAGCTTCAATAAAGATACTGAGACCCAGATCCAGCCACAACCTCATCGCCAAGACGAAGCCAGGAGGGAAGCATCTTCATCTGACAATGACAGCATCAATGCTGCTGATGCCGAGATCCTGACTCAACCACATCACCAAGAAGAAGACTGGGAATCATCGTCGTCTTGGGATGACAGCAACAATGCCGAGATTTCGCCACACCTAAGCCACCGAGAAATTGCCAGGAGAGAACCATACAACAGCTTTGGTGGCATGCAATCTCTGACGGCCGCTCTCCAACTGAATTTGGAGAGCATCGATAGTGACGACGTTGAGGAGGAGAAGGCTGTAGCCGCTGTACCATCCATGGACATCTCAGACATTGAAGAAGAAAATGCTATCCACAAACACTCAGATGATAACAACTGCTCAGACGATAGCGAGGACGATGCTTCAAACACGGCGAAGAAGAAGGCGCGGGCTTCTAACGAGCCAGAACGAATGGACTGCGACGCTGACGATTCAGATGCACAACCGGAAGACAACGAAAATGACAGCGTAGCGTCGCCTCCAGGGAACGATTCGGCAGGCGAAGCGACGGTCAATAGCAGCGGTGAGGACGCTCCAGAATACCGGTGCGATGACGAGGAGCAAGGTGGTAGCGAGAGTTCCGACGAAGAAGACGAGCCCCACGAGGCTGCAGAAGTTGGGGAAATTCGGGATGAAGATGTTTTTCGAACCCCCGAAGCCGGTGAATTGGTCAGCCGCCAATGGAACTGCGAAGGGGCATATCGGGTTGGTGTTGCATGCGGCAAGAAGAAGAATCGAAAGACAATCAATATTCGATTCTTCGATGGGTGGAAGCCAAATGGAAAGCCTAGCAGCCAGCTCCTTCAAAGTACAATTGACGAGGCATCGTTTCGATTAGGCTTGTTTCGTCCCAGACCAGAGCTGAAGCCCGAATGGTACGTTAGTTTCGATGTCCTCCTTCCAAACTCTGCGCAGCTTGCTAACATTCATTTCCGCTCTTTGCAGTCGTTGCTTCGACAGAGAGCGAAACTCTCATTGCATCCTCAAAGCAATCAATAGGGCTTCTGGATCTGTCCGAGTACAATTCGACGGTGAAGAAGACGAAGAGGAGATATCCCCGGACTTTCGTGTACCGTATTAGAGAGGGCATCCAGTCCCACAACTGTGGCGGAGCAGTTGGAGTCAACTTCGTGTTCTGAATCGCGGTGTTCTGAATCACCGGACCATCAAGGCGACGATGTGACTGCGCCCGGCGGTGATTCACAAGCACAGGTATCTGTGACTTGCAGACCCAACGCCAAACGAGATCGCGGGAACGCTGCAGAACAAATGGAAACTGGAGTGGAGCCTCCCAAGAAGCGGACAAGGCTACCAACCCACATCGGGTTGTGTGTGCACAACGAAGCTGATTCTGATGGATACAGATGGTACATTCGGGGGCGACTCTGTCGTCACTCGGAAGACGAACCACCTCGTCTCATCAAGGGAGAGTTTGTGAGATACAGCCCTCAACATGACTACAAAGATCCTGGGGAACTGGAGATCGAGCTCCAGGAGTTCAATCGCTCAAGGAATGCACCTCTCATAGTGAGATCACAAAAAGACAAGAAGGAGTCGACGCGGAGAAGAAATGCATGCAAAGCAATTTCGAGACGAGGAAAAGGAGAGTAGAACCCGCGAAAGGTCCACTGCTGTTCGTTTCGCATTCAGACCAGGTCAACCCGTTTTATGTGCGGAAATGTTGCGGAAGTTGCCACTCTGGTTCGACCGCCTGACGAAGGCGGATTTGCGAGGGTAAAGAACAAGATATCCATGGTCAAACCACAAGACATCAGGCTCATAGGTTTCAAGCCCCCACCAATTGACCTCGATGCATTCTGGAGAGAGATTGGCTCTGAGGTTCCGCGCCAAAGGTCTGACTTTACTCAAAGCCTCCAGAGTTTTTACTTCACAGCTGGCAAGAAGCGCTCGGCGAGGACAATGCACGAGAAAAGTCGACGGATTTCGAAAGGTATGTTGAACAACGAACAAGGTTCCGCGAAAAAGTAAATGCGTGTGCGTCGATGGTGTCGCCTTACACTCGGCAAAGAAAGATTGCGACAAAAATCCCGCCTCCGGTCTGTTCGACAGGTCCGCGTGTTCGGAAACCCCCCTCTCTTGTGATGGCAATCTACCTGAACTGTGTGCTGGTTCGGTTGTCGACGGAATGAGAATGGTTCATCCCGACATGAAGAAAGCCCCATGTCTTTTGAGGTCAAACCCGACAAGAGATAAGTCGATCTGGGAACAGAGCGATATTTACGTGAAGCGGTTACCGAAACCTCCAACGCCCGAAGAAGTGGAGAGAGCGATGGGATACCACGGAGACGAGGTCGGCGTGCCGGCAGATAGTGCACGCAAAGCAATTCCGAGCATCTCAAGGCGCTCCTGGGGAGCCACTTTTTCAAGGGGATTCTTAGGGTCATTTGCACAACCCCGCAACGAAACGAGGCACCCATCCTTGACACTATCGTGACGTTCAATGCGATTGACCAGTGCGTGACGTTGTTGGAAGCACTTTTGTGAGATGCCAGGAGGAGTTTCCACCAATCGTTGACAGAGCGAACGAGGCAGCCCAAGAGTGAATCCGTTCATTGATGATGATAGCTCCACAGGTCAAGCGGCGGGGGTTTCAAGATATCCAGGTGCTGCAGATCAGAGCGGTTGGAAGGCTTGAAGCAAGCACGAAGCTTTCGCGGATCAAGGAGCCACAGCTGCAAGGGAACAACGGGGAAGAAGATTCTCTTAAACTTATGTATTATGTATACTACTGATTGTAGATTGATAGACTTGTTAGTACTAGCGAAGCAGATGTGTTGAAAGGAAAGGAAATGCTGGAGGATGATGGTACTGAGTTGATTCAAACTGGCCTGGATCAGGACAGTGTGGTTGGCCTCTCACCTCGCCGTTCAAAGGGAGATGCCTGACTTCTCTGATGCCTCATCTACGATTCTGCTGGAGGCGTCACAGGAGATTGGGACACTTGTAGTAGAAGCAGTGTATGCTGTTGCTTTGGGTTGTACCCAGTAGGTATCAAGGCTTCCTTTTCCTTTGGCTTCGATTCCACCTTCACGGGGAGTGAGCCAAGCTCCTCTGTTGGCTGCCCTGAGGAGATTTGCAGTCTCAGCAGAAACCTGGATCATGCCAGGAAGAGAGTTGCTTTCCATGCGGGAAGCAGTGTTGACTAAAATAGCAAGGAGTAGCAAGTGCGTGAGATCAGAAAGTGAAAGTCATTCTCTCACGAGCAATGCCCCGTCACCAAGTCGCATCGAACTTACCAGTGTCTCCAAAGATTTGATAGCGAGCTCTCTCTCCTCGGAGCACTCCAGCAGTTACAGGCCCACTGTGGATGCCAACACGGAGTTTAAGCTGGGAAGTCTCTTCTCCAAGATGCTCAACCAAGTCTGTTTGGGTCAACTGGGTCATTTTTTCAACGCAAGCACCTGCAAACTTTACCATGATCACTGCATGATCTTTCTGCGGCTGTGGAAGGCCCGTGATGCCCAAATAGCAATCTCCAATCTGCAGTTACCATCAAGATAAAATGAAAGCTGAGACACAGGCAACAAAAGAGAGAGAACGCTGCAGCTGCTTCTTACAGTTTCAACCTTGAATACTTTGTGCCGCTTGGCCAATCTATCGAATGCCCCATAGAGAGTCTCCAACAGCTGGAAGACATGTGTGGGTTCACGATTGCTTGACCACTTGGTAAACCCAGCAATATCCTGCAAGCAGCAACCAAGGATAAGTGAGACCAAGAAATTCAACGAATGCACTGTGCGCTGAGATAGTACAACGACAACCAGCCACTTACCGCAAAGTAGACTGTGCAATTCTGGTACAAATCAGCCACCACATCCCTGGCATGGTTTGGATCGCTAGTAGTGCTCATTCGAGAAGATGCTGCGGTGATGGAATCGTCCGGTTTAACTTCATGAAGGAATGGAAAGTTGCTGGTCTTCTTGGATGCTTTTGCCTCCTCTTCAAAAAGGCGTTCTCTGACATTTTCTGGGAACAACTCTTGGACAACTTCGGTAGACTGGACAGCCTTGGTCATGACAACCTGTTGGCGTTGCTCAACATAGTGATCATATAGCATGAAGACCAGGGATGTCACGGCAAACGTGGCAAGGACAACCAGCATAAAATATAGAGGCTCATTAGTGCGGAGACTGTCTTCCATTTGTCGTGATGGGTACGCGTGAACGTTATAGAAGCACTGGCCCTGCATGAGGTCTTCAGGTGCAAAATCACCACTAAGGAAACCTTGCCAGCCAGTTGTCTCTTTCAGGTAGTCATAGCTAGGGTCATGCAGGTCACCCGCACCAATGTATTCAGCTCTTTCCCCGTTCACTTCATAGGTGAACTGTTGTTCAACAGGTACTCCCTTTTCTGGTCCACCACAAACATTCTCAAGCACCACCACGACCGGCTTTGTGTTTGGTGGCAAGATGTCTTCAAAGTAGGCTTGCCAGTAGATATAGGCTGTCATCATTGCAACCACTTTCTTGTCATCAAGACCAATGTTGCTGGCGCCACCCATGTCAAATACAGGAAAGTAGAGATCACTGACTGGCCCTTCTTGATAGTGCTTCCCACCAACACTCCAGTGCTTCAAGATTAGGTTGAGGAAGAGCTGTTTCCCGGCATACCCAGGATGCGATGTATTGGCATAGTCAAACGCATTGCTAATAACAGCTCCGCCTGTTTCCATGAGAGCCCTGATAGGGTACTTGCGGGTGGAGTGCATTGAGGTATCATAGTTCACTAGGCCTGATACCGGCATGACTGGGGCAAACTGCCACCATGGAAAGAACGGACCTGTCTCATCTGATGCATTCAGGTGTGCCCTGCCGGTTGATGGTCTGAACAAACCATCCTCAAATCCATTGTTGGGAATAGTCCCAACAACCTTCTTCATTTTATCAACATCCTTCTTCCAATCTGGAAGAGAGTAGTTGACCCCATTTGCCTCCTGGAAAGCAAGACTCTGGTTGAACCAAGCTTTATTCTGCAATGTATACTCCACCCAGCCTTGCATGTTCTCCCCAGTTACTACTGGTAGAACCGTGATGGACATGACAGCCGCAAGGTCAAGAATCATGGATGCTTGCATCTCAAAGTCCGGCACAGTGACATTTGGCCATGACTCTCCCCTTGCTGCAGCATTGGAGGCAATGCTAGTTGTAAAGCTAGCAATGGTTCCAATCCGACGTGCTGCACTTGATTGAAACGTTGAAACAACCTTTCGACATGCCTCCTTTGCGTATGACTCGAACTCATTCTGTTCACTCTCTTTGCCTTTCCAAAACATGGCGAATGAAATGCACCCGGCAACGCAGAGCAAACACAAGAAGAGAGCAACTCGTAGGTACCCCACCTTGCGGGTCTCAGCTCTGGCAATCACTACCTTCTCCTTTTGGTCTTCGCCCTCGTCATGAACAGACGAAGCGCTATCATCCAAAAATGCCTCCACGTCTCCGGTGCTACCAGTCTCGGACGATCCGGGCTTGATGACGGGCAGCGTGGTTTCAGGTACGAGATTCATCATCGCAAAAGAGCTTGTGGTTGAATTGATTTGAGCTTGGTTTTGTAGGAGGCGAGATTGAATTTGTGAGTTTGTAGCTCTGACAACCTCAGGTCATTCAGTTGCCATCCCGGTTGCTATCGGTATCCACCAGGTAAGGTAGTGACTTCAGCGGTAAAGCTAACTTCCACAGGCACAAAGACCATTCATCATCAATCAGAATCCTCACTCAGAGTAGCCTTTGTCCAAACAAAGTCTACATAGCTGTCTAAGCTGCTGTCTACATGTACTGTCTACATACTCCGAGCTCCGAGCAGACTATCCGTAGCGTCCACAACCAATCAGCGGCTATTTCATTCTTGTTGTGCTTTAAAGGTCAGTGCAATAATGCGTTATGTGGGTTGTTGAAGAAAACAAAAGAACTCCTCCATTTATTTCTTTTCAATCCACCTTCTTTTCGACCGTAAAGTCTGCAATAAATACACAATCAGTCTTGTGCTCCTGTTGCATTCGTGCAAGGTGCAAGTGAATATTGTTTTACAGCGCCAGGAAGCTGGTTCAACCGGCCTTGCAGCAGCAGATTCGTTTTTTTTACGCTCGCATGCTACTACCACACTACCACACTCGTACCGGTAGTCTTCCTGTCGCGACATACAGTACTTGATTCTTGAGTTCTCCAGTTCTCAGACACAGACAAGACACAGTGTCTTCGAAGTGAAGTACCGCTGTAAGTCAGAAGCGTATGGAAGTCTGGAACGCCTACAATCTTTACATAAGATTCTATCTTGATAATCTTGATGTTGCGCATTGCGGAGTAGGGGACTCACGTTTCACGTTCCTTTTCGCCATACCGGTATTATTGCTTCGTGCCCAGGTACTAGCTAGCTACTAGTAGTACGAGTACTGTCTTCGCAGCCCTCTCCTTTTGCCCAGCAAAGACGTCCTCGGTTGCCGAACACTTGCTATGTCTCAGAGACATGCCAATGGACATGCTTTTCTCCAAAGTTGGAGCTACAACGTCAACGACAGCGAAGATTCAGCCATTTGGATCTGCAAGCAACGAACCAACTCAGCAAGTCAGGCTGCGGGCTTTGTAGGCAGTACTGTAGGGAGCATTGCGTGCGGAAGAAAGAAGCAAGGCTGGCGAAGCAACAGGAGCCGGAAGCAGTCATTGAGCATGGGTCTTGGTCCTCAGTCTGGGATTGGTGTTGTACAGTCGTACCTGATTAGAGTATTGGCTTCCATTCGTGTATTGACCTTTTTCTCTTTTTCTCTAACAATGGGAAAGACCAGAAAGACCAATGAACGTTGGAGAAACAGGCTACGATACTGGACCTCTGTGGAAACGTCATTCGTGGCAAATTACTTAGGAGACGATACACCGAGGCTTAGGAGAAGGTCGAAATGATTTAAGAGACGAAAGCAATCGTCTCCAATATTTAGGAGACGATTCTTTTGGAGACATTCCATTTAGGAGACAATCGTTTCGAAATAGGAGACGATCCGAAAGATTTAAGAGACGATACCATACAGTTTACATGGTGCACTTAGGAGACGATCCGTTGAGAACAGGAGAGGATCCATTGAAAATAGGAGACGATTTAAGAGGAGACGAAAGATTTAAGAGACAATCCGTTTCGTCTCCTATTTTTAGGAGACGAAATCCATTGAATAGGAGACGATCAAAAGGATTTAGGAGACGATCGGTAGCACGACTCGAGTTTCCACAGAGGTCCTGTGACATCGACACTATCGAGACGCCGAAGGACAAGCTGCTTCAACCGGCCTCCGCCAGCCTAGCTAGCAGCCAGCTATTCTGCTGCACACGTTGTGTTTTCGAAGTGAAGAAAAGATCCTAGCTAGCAGTAGCCAGAGTCCTACGGACGGAGATCTGATCGTAGTGGATTGGGAAGTGTAGATTCGTTGCTTGCACGAGCACAGTCTTCTACGGCACATCATCGTGCACAGGCCTGCCTCCTGGAGACGCCACACTGCCTTGCGCCGCAAAATGCCATTGGCAAACACAGTCACAACCACAAAGATGATCTGAGCAATCAAAGGCCAAATCAGAGATATCACAAAGTTCACTTGGTATCTCTCCAGCCACAAATGTATCATCCAATAACAGTTTGGTGATGCTGCCATTCACAACCAAGTTGCCCAGCTCCACTGGGACAGAACCACTGAGACTTGTCTTGTCTAAAGTGAGCAAAGTCAGTGATGTCATGCCTCCAAGTTCAGAAGGGATACTTCCAGAAATGCCAGCATTGGAAGAAAGCTCAAGGTACTCCAGCATGGACAAGTTTCCAAGTTCCCAAGGAATGGTGCCTTGGAGGTCATTGTCCTTCACAAATATGCTTACTGCACTCTCCAAAAGACCAACTTCCGTTGGGATGGAGCCAGAGAGAGAATTCCCATCAAGGTAGAGAGCTTCCAAAGCAGCAAGCCTGCCAACCTCCGATGGTATGGTTCCTGTCAAGAATTGGGTATACAAGGATAAAGAATAGGATAGATTTGACATCAAGCCAAGCTGGGAAGGGATTGGCCCTTCCAGAAAGTTTTGTTCCAAAGACAACAAAGTCATTTGGGTCAACAAGCCAAGCTCCGTTGGAAGGGTGCCTCTTGTCATTGTGAGAGCCCATTGTAAGGACTTCAGGTTGGTCAAGTGACCGACTTCAGTCATGATCGTGCCAGCTAGTGCATTATTGTTTTGAAGATCGAGGCGCTCCAAACGAGTCAATTTTCCAAGTTCTGTTGGGGCGGTGCCCGTCAATGCTTGGTTGGTGTGAAGAAGCAGACGCTTCAGATGAGTCAACCGTCCCAGCTCGGTTGGAATGGTTCCTCGTGCCATGGTGATGGCCCACTGCAAAACTTGCAGGCTTGTCAAATGGCCAAGCTCACTTGGCATGGTCCCAGCAAGTGCTGGGTTGTTGTGAAGGTAGAGGAATTCCAACTTTGTCAAGTGGCCCAGTTCTGTTGGAACAGCTCCCCGTGTCATTGTATTGGACCAATCCAATTCCGCCATGTTGGTCAAGAGACCAACTTGGGTCATGATTGTCCCAGTCACTTGATTGTACTGCACCAAGAATGAGTCTAGAAGAGTCAATTGGCCAATCTCGGAGGGCACAACACCTGTGAGTTTGTTGAAATCCAGAATCAGCTCTTGGAGTGCAGTCATCTGTCCAATTTGACTTGGAATGGTCCCTTGGATTTCATTGGTGGACACATCCAGGACTCTCAAATGGGACAGCATGGCCAATTCTGGAACCAGGCTTCCTGACAATTTGTTCATGGTCAAGATGAGCGACTGATAATTGCCATTGTCATCACATATATAGTGACCTGAACGTTTCAGATGGAGCCATTGACTGCTGAACCACTCGCATTCATGAACGTCGTAGGAAAGCCAACCATCCTGGAGTGTCCAACTGCCGGCCTGTTCGTCGTCGTTATTACCACCAATAATACTCATTACTGTAGCATAGTAGAATGTGGCCAGAGCAAATCGTTGTTGTTTGCGAGCATTGGAATATTCTTCCAAGTGGGGATCATTTTGGATCCATTGGTAGGCTTTTTGCTGCGGAAAATCCAAAGTACCATTATTGTTGTTGTGTTGCAGTGTCTCCACCGTGTACTCGGGTAGGGGCAAAAGGAAGAGCGTGGTGGCCTGGTGGCGCTTGGAGGCGCCGTCAAAGACTCCGGCCCAAAAGAACAGGAGACCGTTGAATGCCAGCACAAGCACGACACCGAGAAAGCTTGCCCAAGTTTCCTGCTTGGATTCTGGTTTTGGTTGCTGTGGTGTTTCATCGGGTCCGTCTGCGCTGGCTTGGTTGGTATCATGGTGGGTGCTGTTGGATTTTGGCTTTCGTTTAGTGGTGGCTTTTACCGTTTCGGATTTGATTTCGGACTGGATTGTGGGAGGAGACGGTACCAGATGAGTGGCTTCGACGCATTCATTTGGATTACCGCTACTTTGAAACACGTAGGAACTGTGTTGGGAGCCTTCGGACTCTGGGGGGCGATCCTTGGGCACATTGAGGGGATATTCAGTGGTTGCAAGTGGTGACGTAGGATCTCCAGCAGAATCGTTTGGAATCTCACTACCTTTTTCCAACAAGGGTTCACCTGCCGGTGGTTTGGCTCGACTACTAGGCGGTGCCTTGGTATGGGCCTGACCTGTGTTGCCTCGGAACATGGCCAAGATCTGTTCCTCCTCGCGAGACAGCAGTGACGGCGGGGTATTCAACGAAACATTGCTACCCTTATGATTGCTTGTACTTGCAGTCCTGCTTTTTGCGGAGGTAGCCGGCTCTGGGGAGCTGCTGGTATCGCTCATGGTGATGAATGGTTCTTATTCTTAGTATATTTCTTCCGAAGCCCATCCCAGTTGCAGCAGCCAGACACATCTATCTGCCATCATGTTATCCATTTGTTCCTTGGATCGATCCGCTCGCCCGAAATATTCTTCGTTGTCCAACCGTTTCGGCCACCACGTGCTCCCCTTGCTCCCATTTGTTCCTGCTGATGTTCTTTTAAAAGTTTTCATGCCACCTTATAACCTCTACTAGTATTTCACCAGAACACATTCAGGAATGTCTCAATGTTAAAGCTTCTGTGGGAGTCTATGTCTCAGTTCAAAGATACTTAGAAGGGCTACTGTGGTATAAGCACGTGTGGTACCGACATGCACGCAACGCAGTTTGACGTGATTGATGCCACTTGTTTCGCGTGGTTGGTTTCTCCTTTGGGGATCTCACATTCTCGTTTCTTTCTCGATGCGAGAGATCCTTCACTGGCAGTGAGTCGAGTCATCCCTCTTGCGAAACAATCCAGTCTAGATAGCAAGATAGTGTTTCTATAGAACTATAAGACAAAGCAAGATGAAGTTACTGTCAGCACTACTCTCTGTGGCACTGTGTCTCCCCAGATCCTGCCTGGGTGAATCTTTGTTGTCACTGCGTCGTGGTCTTGCTGCTACCGGAACGAGTGATGACAGTAGCAGTATTCCAAATAATAATCACCGCCAACTGCAGTCACCTGCCGAATTGGCCCAGAGTTGGGTCAATGAGCATCCCGATCTGGATCTGTTAACTCCCGAACGACAGACCCAACTCTTTGCCATGGTGGAATTCTTCTATTCGACGACGGGATTGAGCTTTTGGAACATTACCACCAACTGGTTGTCTTATACCGTCAGCGAATGCCAGTGGTACAATCAAGCGGCAGAAGATGCCTGCGATCCCGCTTCTGGCGAATTACTTAGTCTGGAATTGGAAGACAATGGATTGGAGGGATTCTTACCGGCATCGTTGGCCGATTTGTCCGTCTTGGACTCGCTGGATGTGGAAGACAACAATATTGAAGGATCCATTCCTACACAATTTGGATCCATGGCCAATTTGGAAGAACTCGATGTCAGTTCCAATCTAATGAACGGTACCATTCCGACGGAATTGGGAAATTTGCCAGTCGTCCAAGAATTGGAACTCAAAGAAAATGCATTTTCGGGATTAATTCCTTCGGAACTGGGGAATCTAGCCACATTGGAACTGTTGGATCTTTCGGAAAACATGTTGGAAGGAGCGCTGCCACCCGAATTGGCCACGCTACCAGCTCTGGAAGTGATTAGTGTTTATTTCAACAAGAACCTCACAGGGACTATTCCAGAGGGGTTCTTTGTCATGCCCAGTTTGTTAGAACTGGATGTGGAATTCAATTTCTTGGAGGGATCCATCCCTACCATTATTGGACAAAACACACGTTTGATGGAACTCAATTTGCAAGATAATTTTTTTGCCAACACCATTCCCACGGAGTTGGGGAATGTGATGACACTGGAAGAAATCAATTTAAAAGACAACGAACTTGTGGGTCCCATTCCTACTTTTCTGGGCAATCTTCCCAAGTTGTTGGTCTTGGATCTTGAGGACAATCGAATCACCGGTGTCATCCCCGCCGAACTGGCCAGGGCATCCAATCTCCAAGAAATTGCACTGGCCGACAATCCCGACATGACCGGTACCATCCCAGAAGCATTGGGAACATTGGTCAATTTGACACGCTTGGATGTCACTGGTCTCACCAAACTCTCGGGAAGTGTCCCCGATTCGCTCTGTGGTGTAACCACATTTACCTGTGGACTCATCATTGGAGAACTCTGTGGTTGCAACACGTGTCCCTGTTCCGCGCAACAGGCAGCGGTACCGCCTTCTCCGGAACCGACCAGAGCTCCAACACGAAGTCCGACCAAACGGCCCACAAGAAAGCCCACGAGAAAACCCACGAGAAATCCCACGAGACAACCTACGCGTCGTCCGACACGACGACCCACACCCCAACCAACTCGATTTGATGATTTCTGTCGTCTCTGTCCCTTTACGTTGGATGTGAGACGACGAGGGCGGACCCTGTGGGAAATGGGAACCACGGGGTTTCTTACCACGTGTGGTGAATTCAATGATTACTTGGCAGAAGAAGAAAGTTGTAGGGGATACACGGGTATCTATCGAGGCATCGCCATTCCAGCCTATTGCGGATGCGACGGTGTCGACAATCCAAATGCCTGCGGACGAGGGCTGTGCCTCGATGGGACATCCTTGAAGGATGGCAACGCCTTTGGATTGACTTGCTTGGAGTGGAATGAATTTGCGCTGGCCACGGCCGATCCAAATGCCTGCGGAGACATGTTGGAACCGCAGAGACAGGAATGCTGTGGGTAAAGTCGGTGCTATAGACGTAGCAGCTTTTTGCAGGGAAGTCGAGGAAGAGACTGCGTTGACAGTACAAAGATTCATACAATGCAATATATATGTGAATGCTAGTGTGTTTTAGAATAGGAAGAATGATTGGGATGTAGAATTCAAAAAGCTTGCGAATGTAATGGATCCACGGGAGGATCAAGTTCGTCATGCAGTGGTAGTTGCCTGCTTTAACTTTCCTGTAACGACCCAAGGAAGAGATCAAAACCCACCAAAGGAATGAATCGAATCGAACAGGAAACCCCCAAGATGCTGACGAGCTGAACGCAGTCGGCCGTGGCTACAACCAAGAACCATCAATGAAGTCTTTTGCACCAGTGGTGTCTTCAGTCAACGTTGGTTCGGATTCCCCCGAGAGCCCCGCAGAAGAAACAGATCCTGACATGGAGGAACTGGGCCTATTTGGCAACACCCAAAAAGTTGCAAGGGTGCCTTTTCCTTTGGCTTCTATCCCACCCGGCCTAGCAGCTAGCCAACTGCCCTTGTTAGCCGCCTTGAGAAGCTCTGCAGTCTCAGAAGAAACTTGAATCTTTCCAGGGAGAGAGTTGCTCTCCATCCGAGATGCAGTGTTGACTGATCAAGCGGGAGGAAGCAAACAAGAGTGGGAATTGGATATAAGTAGGCGTTCAAGCTATCAAATGCCATCAGGCGCAAAGGAGCAATCCTGAACTCACCAGTATCTCCAAAGATTTGATAGCGTGCCCTCTCTCCCCGAAGCACACCAGCGGTTACAGACCCACTGTGGATGCCAGCCCTCAGTTGAAGCAAGGATGTCTCTTCTCCAAGCGCGTCCTTCAACTGGTTTTGGACGAGGAAGTCCATCTTTTCCATGCATGCAGCAGCAAACTTTGTCATTGCCACAGCATGATCCCGCCGAGGACGCGGGACACCAGTAATGCCTAAATAGCAATCTCCAATCTACAGGTATAGTAAAGATGAAAGGAAGGATGAGACAGAAGCAACAAAGTGATCACAGGACATAGGTCGCTGAACCCAGGGCTTACAGTTTCAACCTTGAATACTTTGCGCTGCTTGGCCAGCCTATCAAATGCCCCATAGAGAGTCTCCAAAAGCTGGAAGACATGTCTGGGTTCACGGTTGCTTGACCATTGAGTGAATCCAGCAATGTCCTGTTGCATGAAGTGATGACATGTCAATGAGGATATTGGAGCACAAGGCAATGTTTTTGTGCTTTTTGAGGACTTACTGCAAAAAGGACGGTGCAATTTGGGTACAGATCCGCTACCATGGGGCCCCTGGGTCTTGATAGCTGATCATCCAGGGATTCAAGGGAAGAACGATTATTGGTTGCGCAGCTGGAGTCCCGCAGACGTTGTTTGGCCCCAGCCTGATGTTGCTGGCTGGATGATGTGTCACCGGTGCTTTCTTCAAACAACCGTTCTCTGACATTTTCTGGGAACATCTCTTGCACAACCTTTGTTGACTTGATGGCCTTTGTCATGACTGCCTTCTGGCGACGCTCAACAAAGCAGTCATATACACAGAATACCAGAGACGTTATGAGAAAGGTTGCCAGAACAAATAGCATGTTGTACACTGGATCATTGGTGGTGAGATTGTCCTCCATTTCCTTAGTGGGGTAGATGCGAACTTGGTAGAGACACTGCCCCTCCATGAGATGATCTTTGTCATTCGTACCAGCCAGAAAAGCATGCCAACCTGTGGACTCTTCCAAGTAGTCATAGGAGTCATCATGATGGTCGCCTGGCCCCATGTATTCTGCTTTCTCACCAATGATCTTGTAAGTGAACTGCTGTCGATGTTGGTGGTGGTCATCCTCTCTCATACTGCGTTGGTGCTCATGGTGAGCTTGGCTTCCACACACGTTTTCAAGGACGGCCATCACAGGTTCACTGGAAGACGACAAGACATCTTCAAAGTACACTTGCCAATAGATGTATGCTGTCAATATAGCTGCCACAGTCTGCTTGTCAGAACTGTCCCGATCAAACACAGGGTAATACAGATCGCTCACAGGCCCTTTTTGGTAGCTCTTCCCACCATCTTCCCACCTCTTCAGGTAGAGATTCAGTGTAGCCTGCTTGCCAATGATATGGGGGTTCTCAGTGTCAGAATAGTCCCAGGCTTCACTGACCAATGGGCTCTTGTTCTCCAGAACAGCTCTGATTTGATACTGCCGTGAGGGATTCGTAGCAGTGTCATAGTTGAGGATAGAGGGCACAGGGAAGACTGGCGCAAACTGCCACCATGGCAGGAAAGGACCTTCATCAGCAAGGGCATCATAGAATGTGGAGTTGTCAAAGAAGGAATAGATTCCTGGATGAATCGTTGTGTTGGATTGCACCTCCCCCAGGACTTCTTTCAGGGCTTCCACATCTTCACTCCATTGTGAATGATTTGTCCCAGATTCTCTCTGGAACTCTAGGCTCTCATGGTACCATCCTGCATTCTTGACAGAGTATTCTCCCCATCCATCCAGGTTCTCTCCAGTCACAACAGGGAGCATAGTGATTGACATCACATCAGCCAAATCCAGGGTAAGTGACACTCTTTCTTCAAAGTCAGGCACAGTTACATTTGGCCAGTGTTCGCCCCTTGCTGCTGCATTAGAAGCGATGCCTTCGGCAAGACTGGCAATGGCTGTGAGTCTGCTAGTTGCACTGGATTGGAAACTGGTGGCCACCTTCTCACAGGCTTCTCTCGCGTAGTTTTCAAACCCTATCTGCTCACCCTCCTTGCTCCCGAAGTAAAAACCACAAGAGATAAACGCTGCTACTGCTGCTAAGACGAGCATCAATATAACTCTCATGTACCCAACCCTTTTGTTCTCTGAGGTGGCAATAACTACCTGTTCTTTCTCGTCTCTGTAGCTCTCGACGTCTTCCGTCGCACTGCTCATATCTTCCACCACATAACTCGCGGCTTCCTCGTCGGCGTCCACCCTCGAGGCGGATGAACGATCCAGCGTTGCGTTCATGTTAGTATCCATTCCAAGTCTTCGTTCTTGGTTTTATGATCCATTTGTGCTTTGCTCGAACTCCTTCGAAGCAAAGTGGTTGGAGCCAATCGTGCGGAGTGCCAAGAATCTTATCTTCAATTCCCATCCACCCCCAATGACAACTTTCACCCGAAACCATTGACGAAGGACCCTCAACCACGATAGAATTGATTGGACGTGAAGTAAAAGAGTGTTGTAGTGAACACTGGTCAAAAACGGCCTTACTTGCCAGACCAACTACCAGGTACTACATGTAGTAACAACTAACTCTTGTGCTTAAAAGTGGCACACCTACTTGCATTCGTTGGGAGTTGGAAACTCCCCTTATGATAGAGGTCTGGATAGCTACATAGAGCCATCACTCCGAGAGGAACACGGCTGTAAGACTTTGGATCTCTTTGGATGTCCAAGGTCCAAGGAGGAGCAAAAAGAAAACGAGAGAATGTGCTCACTTTTTGACAAGAAACCATTGGAACTGCTGATCCGACGACCCAAAAATACACCGCGCCGCACAGGTAGCTTCGAATTGAATTGACGAATTTGATATGCCTGTCTTGAGAAGGAACACCAAGAACGTCCGCCAGAGAATGTTGCCATATTGCCAATAGTTAGTTGGGACATGGCTTTGCTACTAGCTAGCCACTGTCCAGCTCTGGTCATCAAAATCCTTTTGACACCCAAAAGGATCGAGGTAGATCCTTGCTAGGACTATCTAGTACGTTTGTTTTGAATTAAAGGCAATCGTTTCATGTCGGGGCTACGGTAGGTCCTGTTAATGTTGCTTCAACAAAGCCAACGTTATGCGACATTGGACCCCACGAAACAACTGAGGGGACCGAGTATTCATAAGATTCACTGCAACACTGCAAGACGTTCAACAGCAGTGGGACTGCAGGACACTGCTACAATGCTGCATGTTCGATGAACATTGGACCCCACGAAACAACTGAGGGGAACCAGTATTCATAAGATTCACTGCAACACTGCAAGACGTTCAACAGCATTCCACACAGGCTGTTGCATGATGCCCACCTCACTTTCTTCAGCAAATAATGCACGCTTCATACTCGCACCCGCTTCATGCACCGGTCCGACTCCCATATCTACTTCGGTGTCATGGGGTCACTTTGGCTGAATCAGGCGGCACCCCAGAACCAGAATGTCTAGCTTCTGGCAGGATCCCTGATGGCGATGCTCTTTCCATTCTTGAGGACCAGTTGCACTTTCCGTCTTGGCCGATACGAGCGAATCAAGGGGGACACGGCAGCACGGCAGAGCTAGCTACGGTAGTGGACTTCTTTAGCTTCCTCATCTGTAGCTACTAGACTGTACTGGCACCACGAAGGGATAGGTTTGCATGTGGCCAGTGACCAGTGACGTCGCGACGTCAAGCAGCGACATTGGTCATCTCTTCCAATCGTTTCCCTTCAAAAATTCATAGAAGACATTCAGCCCTCCAACCAGGTTTTCCTAGCCAGGATACAGCATTGCAACTTTCATGATCGTCAGTTGTGTCAATCTCATGCCTGGACTTTGTAACACAGACAAGCCAGCTGAGATCTATTCTCACCCCTCCAGCTAATAGAATTTCTTGATGGCGCTATCAGTCTTTTGCAGATTCCCAGGATACAGGACCTAGGAGGGCGGCAACTACTTGTTCCTTTGCGCTGGGCAGGGGTACTTGTGAACACCAAAACCTTTCTGGAACACCAAAACCTTTCTGGCTTATAGCTACGTTTTATGTTCCTCTATTAGGCTGATGATTCCCTGAGTAGTCGGCAGGGTGGGTAGATTTTTAGAGAGAGAAGAGAGTGGCTTGTGGGACACGACAGCATTCTATGTTACCCAACCCTGCCAATACCGGTGGCAAGTTAACCAACAGCATTCATTATTGGAGCAAACTAACTAAGGTAAGGTTTAAAAGGTTCGCCCCTTCACTATAATGATCCACACCCCTCCAACTGCATTTGGCCTGGCGAAAGGAGAGAGCGGTCTGACAACTACATTATCAGTTGTCGACCGAGGGCATGTACCCTCCACTATTTCTGAGAAAGCAGGTTTTGCTTACTTCGTTTCTGGTTCTACCTCTAGAGGCTTTTCCATGTTCAAGACCGTCCAATACTTGCACCCCAAGCAGCAAAATACAAGAAGACCCTCGAAAAAGGCATCCACCGCATCCTTGTTTTGTTTGATACAAAATCCCTTTCGTTCGTAGAGTCGGACCGCTCCGACGTTTTTCTTCATGACATCCAGCGTCAAAACCTTGGCACCCACTGTATGGGTAGCAAAGTCTGTGGCCCATCGAAGCAACATGGATCCTAGTCCCTTGCCAGTATGATCTGGATGACAGGCAATCCATTCCACATAGACTTCGCCTGGCTGCAGTTCGTGTCTTGCGTATGCCGGAAAGGAAAAATCTCCAGGATCTCCCGCCACTTGCAATTGACATCCTGCCATGACAATGCCATTTTGCTTGATGACTCGACAGTGTTCCAGTTTTTGGGGGTATTCGTCACGATACTGCTGATATGCCTTGAGCGCATTGTTGATGGCTTTGTCTGTGCTACTACAACCGTTTTTTTCCTGGAATGCGGCTTTTAACATCACAGCAAGGTCTGGAAAGTCGGATGGAGAAGGAATGACTAATTCCGGTTGTGGCCTACCATCATAATTATTCTTGCTGTTGGCATTATTGTGGAGCCTCTCGGTTTCTTTCATCCTTTGGTTTGTTCCAACTCGTCTTTGTGGTGAGTTTGTTCTCTTCTTCCCTCTTGTCTCGACTCGACTCGTCAATGGACTCGATCGGGTTGTTGGGAATTTGGTGTGTACCTTGCAGGGTTCGCTAACCGTTTGGTTGGGTACCGGTTACTGGTTACTCAACCAGTAACCAGTTTTGCTAGGGTACCGGTTACTGGTTACTGGTTACTGGTTGAGTAACCAGTTCTGCTAGGGTACCGGTTACCGGTTACTGGTTGAGTAACCAAATCAAACAACCGGTAACCAAATGGCAATTTGAGTAACCGATTCGGTAACCAAAACGGCAATTTGAGTAACCGATTCGGTAACCGGTTCGGTAATCAGTCGACGGGGTACTGGTTACTGGTTACTGGTTGAGTAACCAGTTCTGCTAGGGTACCGGTTACCGGTTACCGGTTGAGTAACCAAATCATTCAACCGGTAACCAAATGGCAAATAACCGGTAACCGAAGAAACCGGTTAGCGAACCCTGGTACCTTGGTGTGTACCTTGGTGTGTTCCTTGGTGTGTTTTGGTGTGTTTATTTAAGTGGCAGGTTCTTTGCAACAGGTAAATTGGTGTGTTCAAGTGTGTTTATTTAAAGGGGCAGTGCATTTCTCTGGTAAGCTGGTTGTGGTAGTGTGTTTGTATTTAACGGCACACTTTACCTTGCAGGATAGAAAATCATGGTAGTGTGTTTTTATTTAACAGTACACTTTACCTTGCATTTTAGCAAATCATGGTGAAGGTTTCAATGCATTGACCAACTGAATGGCAACATGTCTCCTGCAGCAACAACAGTTTCACCCAGTTTCCAACACGACTGCATTGCTTAGCTTTTAAAAGCAGCTGTAGATAAATCCAGGTGCTAAAGCCAGTTAGGGCCTCCTGAAGGGTCTCTCTGTATCAGCAGGTGGTTGCAATCACACACTACTCTGTCTGTAAATACAAGGAGATCATTGTTTGCTGTGCTCATTTTTGCTCATAGGTACAATAATGTCAGACGATCAGAGAAGACAGAGGGATGATAATCGAGGTTTACCACCAGTACCGCAAAATGCGGAAGCGTATCGAAGATGACTACAACATCAGCATTTTATATGAGAACTCTCGGTGAATCTTTTCTCGCTTACAGCTATAATATTGCCATGAGTCAATATCAAACAATATCATTGCAAAGCAAGTTGCTTAATGAAAATGCAAAAGACTTATCTTCAAAAGCTGATTGCAAAAAAATGGCGACAGAAATATATGGTACAAGTTATTGGTGAAATTAACACAACATCCACAAAGAAGTCCACCAAGGAGTCAAAGTAACTATATCATTTAGTAATAACTCTTTAGCTGGTTTAAGTTTAATACAATTTTGGTTATAGTGAAAGTTTGCATGTTTTGTACTCACTAGTGTATAGTCGCGCAAACGCATACGCATACGCAAAATTAATAAGCCCCACTCGATCGGGTTGTTGCGAATCGAATTTCATTCGTGCACTCGCATCCCCAACGCATGGATCGTGGATCGTGGATCTACGTGTCGCCTTCGCCCACAGACACGCAAGAAGCAACAGCAAACACACGACTTCCCATCCGCAATGTCTACAGGCAGCTTCGGTTTTAAAGATTCAAACGCGTGCCAGGTTTTCTCTTACACTTCTACGAGAGCTGGAGTAGAAGTGTACCAGGGAGGTCGGCACGCGTTTGCATCAATAAAATCGAAGCTGCTCGTATATCCATCCATCCAGCTACCAGTACTGGTAGCTACTAGTAGCAGCAAGCGAATAAAAGCCTGAAGTGGGTGACTAACGTCGCCACAACCACAAATCATATAAAATTGGATCAGAGTCTCATTCCAACCAACTAGCTGCACTATGAATGATGAAGGTACTACCATGTCTCCTCTTCTGTTTGCTGACGATTTGATTTGGAGTGACCAGTGTTGTTTGCTAGTAATACTGCAGCTTATTGGGGAGTAATTTGGTTTTAGATTAAGCTGAAAAGCAAAAAGTGAGGATTTTCTGGTGGTGCATAGCATTCTTGTGATTGAATTGGTATAAGGACCCCCGTAGCACTTTAGACCTAAAACTCCCTTGGTTCCTTGATGATGAATTTACATGCGAACCGACTAGATGATTTAATACACGAGTCAATAGTTAAAGGTGTCAGGTATGTTTCCTCCAACACTCCTGCACGGTGCCCTAAGTGGCTACCGTGGAACGAATAAATAATTTAGGCAATCAAACAAGGGGTGGATGCCCCATGATGAAAGCCCTGTGCTCGTGGAAGAGCTTGCCCTGAAGGGCTTCGTGAAAAAATCTCCACGCATCTCAAAGGTTGGGCCAGTACACAACTCTAAGGTTGCCTTTTCCAACTGGTCATGAATAAAAAAGAAACGAATGTTGATAGCCCGAGTTCTTTTGCCGAACTGCCTTTGCCATTCTCTGCAAGAATGATCGTGCTTTTGTTGTCCTGCATAAGGATGTTGTCCTTCACAACGATCCCTGCTCTTCAAGGAACAAATTTGCCCACAACATGGGCAACATAACATCGTCAGCTCCAATCAATTCCGCTTCCGTGCTGCTCCTCGAATTCAATTTCTGTTTCGCGGATACAGAAAGCACCGCTCCTCTTCCAAAGGACATGACTCCTCCTGTATGGGAAACGTTAATCAGGATGGACTGCAATGATGCATCCACCACAAATGATGACACGGATATATCAACATGGAGTATCAACTTGTCCTCCACTGTTTGGTCCAGGAACTTCAATCCTTGAATCAACTTGCCCCATTCATCATCTCTTACTCTTTTGTT